AGAAATTTATTTATACCCCCTTAGGGTGTAAGAGGTTAAGAGAAAATCATTATGCAAGCAAAGAATATAAAAATTAGCGATCGGGGGCGCTCTCGTTGCCATGGAGCTATAAGCAGATGCCTAGTTTGCTTATGTATCGGGTAAACCTCAAATGAGGAAAGAAAAGAAAAAAAAATTTACACATAAAAGAGGTTATATGCAGTGAAATCTCTTGATTTCAGGTGGTACTTTATACTAATGACTGATATTTTTAAGTAAAGATCAGTCGATACTGGGTTTATTTTTTTTATAAGGTAGATACAGATTATTTTGACCTCAGTCTAACCAATCAACTTGATTTCTTTCAGGGTGATTCTTGGAGCCAATATTGCTTTTTTTTTTCTCCATTAACATGATCAAAATGGCACCACAACAAAATAATGTAACAGCTTTAAAAAGAAACAGCTGTAAAGAACATTATTAATTTGAAATGATAGATCAATAAAGGGAAGTATTCCTAAGCAGACACTCACCGTCAGCTGTTTGGTGACCACTCCCGATTCAATCGCTGACCTATTCATAGCTTTCAGGACTTCAAAGTCTGGGGCTTCAATGAACACCACGTAGGGCAGGAACTCAGATGTACGCAGGACTTTCAGGGCCTTCAGGGGAAAAACAAACACAGTAAGGAAAGAATCAGAAATTTGTAAACAGCTGGATCTTACTCTATATGTAACAGGATTAAAACCCTTTCATGCATAGTGATCCTTACAGTTTACAACTTTTTAAGTGTTTTTTTTTTCTATATATATATATATGCATTTAATATTGGTCATTTATGCATATAGTCCAATCTAGTGGAAGCTGTTGCATCATCCCATACAGAAAAATCTAGTTTGGTGATCAATGCAATGGAAAAAAAGTGAACCAGTGAAACCAAGATGGCTGACACACAGGCGAAAAAACACCTCGGCTATTTTGGTTTCTACAGGGGAGTAGAGAAACCACCATTCCAACAGAATACTGTATCACCACTCTAAAACTAAATTACAACTAGATCTATGCAACTACTTAGCTGGCATATTGATTTATTTACAGTATAAAATGTATTAAGTACACTTTAGTGGACAGATAAATATTTCTTTATAGAATAAAGATAGAATCTTTTTTTTCAAACCTTACATTCCTAAGGATGGAAAAAAAAATTTGAGTTTATCATAATTTATGCATGAGATTTAATTGTGTCTTTTTCTAGCTGATTATCTATTAATTATTTAAGGTAAATCTTAGAAATGTTTTGTAGCATAAATCAACATGTAAAGGTTGATTTATCAGTATTGAAATGTATAAAAACAAAATGATAAACTGGACCTGTGGGTTGACATCCAGGATGCAGATCTTTCCTGTCTCTATCACCTCGTGTATGGAGTTGATCTTTGTGCCGTACAGGTTACCGTCGTACTCGCCGTGCTCCAGGAAACGGCCGCTTCTGATGTCACACTCCATCTCGCCCCGTGACATGAAGCCGTACATCTGACCGTCCCTCTCATCCACCTTTGGCTTCCTGGAGGTGACTGAGAGATGGAGATTGATTAAAACATGAAGACAGAGGACAATTCCTTTCCAACTGATCCAGCAGAAACAATGATTAAAGAAGAAAAAAAGAAATGCTCTGTTATTTGATTTTTTTTTTTTTTTGTCTGGTGGAAGCACAGACTATGTGTTGACAATAGTCTGTGTTATATCACACTATATTAAGTGTGTCTCTGTATAGGATGGCGACCTAAACAGATCATTCCCATGGCTAATAATTGAAGCACTATGCTGTGGGAATGCAGAGACACAGAATAGTTGCTGTGCTAGAAATGTGCAACGGCAAGTCTGTTGAACAGAGTGCAGGCTAGCTATCCGAGGACAGGTAAGTAATCAATAATAACATCTGCACCATCAAACATCCTTAATTCACTTAAACTCTGTCCAAGTCATTGAAATTCTGCAGTGGATCCACATTAAAACAATATAAGAATGAGATTAGAATAAAAAACACAATTTCTAACAAGTTAGTAGTTAGCTGAAAAAAATGAGAACACAAAAAGCTGTGTGTGTTAAAAAAAAACTCAAATCATGTGACAGTCTCTGTGTCAAAATGACCATATCAATACTTTTTGTTGCGCCATTTTTTTTCCTCCCAATGCTTAGATTTGATCGCTGCTGCATTTCAAGAAATGGAAAGAGCAAAATGAAAGCAAAGTTTTCTCTAACTCTAAGTAAAGAGAAAATGGCAGAGAATCAGCGCTGAGACTCTTACAGATTGATAAAAAAAAAAGCCGAGATCTTTGGGATGCTACAGCTTTAAGACTAACAGGACTCACTCTTCTCTTAGTGTTTCCTAATTAATTCAGTTAAACAAAAACTATGTGTGAAACAAAAGGTCTTATCTGTTAACAACAGATGTTTGCTATTTAGATGTACCTGTTGTTAGGTGAGCTTTATACGCACTCAGAGAAACTTTTTCTGATACCCCCCTTAGTTTCCATTAAAGGAGAATTCCGGTTTTTAACACTTTTAGCCCATTTTCTGTAG